AATTTAAAATTTTAAATATTATAATAATTATTCAAATTTTGAATAGATTGCTAAAAATTGTTGTAACATGTATAATAGAGTAAGTTGTAAACTACAAAAAACAATTTTACTAAGAGCGAATTACATACATAGAGGATAGGGGATTTCAAATCCTGACGTGTAAACAGACTAATGCTTTGCCCAAAGAACCGGAAAAAGACAAAGGTCAATAAGCGAAGGTGATTACTTAACGAAGCATCAACTTGTAGACAAGAGAACGAGACTCAATTAATTACATGAGTGGACTTGATATCGGGTCAGGTTTTTTTTTTTTTTTTTTCGGTGCAAATGGGAATGTAGTTATCAGTCAAGTCTTATAAAAAGAGTCCATATACAATATACGTATTACAATTATGAGAAAAAAATAGTAATAAAATAGAGTAAAAAAAATAACAAAAAGTCTTTTTGTAAGTATGCGCTACGCGTAACGGGTCATGTTTAACGAAGAAATACTCACTTCAAAAAAGAGGAAAAGATAGCAGAGAGAGAACAAAAAGATAAATAAAGAAAAAAGTAAACTGCTCATGTTTGGGCCACAAGGTATCAATTGAAATCAAGCTTCATGATGGGTTCAAAGAAGATAACAAATTGATCATGTACCAGACAAAGTGCTGGTTAATAGATTGATCATGTTGGATTTATTTTGTTATATATTTTCTATTATTTACTATTAATTTCCAAAAAAAAGTACAAGAATAAGTTTGATCCATCAAAAAACTCGTTTTCAGTTTCAGATGACAACGGACTATTTAAATATTTAAATAATTTTTTTGTTAAAACTATTTTAATATATTACAATTAAATTATATTTTTTTACCATTTAAACTAAAATCCATAATCTCTTGAACCATCTATATATTAATTAATAAATATCCAAATTACTTTAACACACCAACAAATTTATCATATCGCGTGCCTATGTGTCATATCAATCATCAAGAGTCAAACTTTTTCACTAACCTTCTGTTGGTCTCCACGGGAAAAATGTATACCTTGGCCAGTGGATTTTTTTTTTTTTAACCAAGGAAATTTGGAAAAAAAAGTATTTAAACTATTTCTATAAAAACTTAAATTTTAACATAAATTAAAATTTTTATTATACATTATCAACCCAGCTAAGCTGGTAGTGCTTGCCAACGGATTGAAACAAGTTTGAAATTTGAATTTTTTTGCTGTAAAACGCTCTAAAACAGTATAATGGATGCATACAAATGAAATTTTAGGCTTCATTTAAAAATGTTTCCTACAAATTTTTTTATATAATATCTTACTTTAAAATGTAAAATTATTATTGTTAATTAATTTCATTTAATATTTTATATATTTTTATTGAATTTAATTAATATTTTATATGTTTTTAGAATGATAAAAAAAAAAAAGCCAATGTCATGCTACAAACCAACACAACATTTTCAAATGAATCCTTAGCTAAATTATAAAAATAAATTGAATTTAATAATCTTTTTTACCAAATTAAGAATAACTAAATCAAAATGTTAAAAATTTTCTACTAAACTAATAAATGCATGAAAAAAAAATTATTGCTTTCATTTTTGAAGGAATTTTTTATATGCATTTTTTGATTCAATGCTAATGTAAAAATGAAAATTTGACATCAAAGTTTAACTACTTCTAAGAAGTTATCAATATTAACTTATTTTTATAATCTGATCAAAATATAACAACCAAAACTAATCAAATAAGCAGTAAATTCTTCAAATTCTCTGTTCTTATCTTGGTTTTTCGATTGCTCAGGCTTATTCGTTGCTTTGCACTTTTCATTCCCCATTTCCCCAAAGCCAAAATTAATTGAATTTAGCCTTTGGAAGTAAATTCAAAATTATCTAGCTACAGAAATTCCCGCTTTCTCCTTGATGTGCCAGTGCCAGTGCCAGTGCCACTTCCTAAATCCCTAATTATCCTCTTCGAATTTACTTATTCTCTGAAAAATTATGGCAGCTAGTAAGTAATCTTCTTTTGCAAATAATCCTTCATCCAACTATTAATATGCATTTTGTTATCTAAAGAGTGAATAAAAGGTCCAATATGAAAATTTTAATTTAGTATTAATAACAACTAACAGAATCTAATCAACTAAATGCAAAATTAAAGAATCAATACATAAATAATGAAAAATGGCTAAAGAGAAGAATAAGGAAAAACCGATCTGTCATTCATCGCCCAGACTTGATTTATGGTCAAATATTTGTACAGCATACGGTTGATGGGCACTAAAGAGGAAAAAGTAACCAAGGAGGGGTTGGATCAAGTGGTAAGTGACTTGTTTCAGCTTAAGTAAGGTCTTAAGTTTGAGACCTTATGTACGCAGCAGTCCTCGTTGGGAGACTTACCCACTATTTTCAAGTGCGCGATCCGGGCCGAATCCGAATTACTCGAAGCGAAACTCCGTATACCGAGCAGGAAACTAAAAAAAAAAAAAAAAAGGAAAAAGTAAAGTTGAGCACCTCGTGCTCAACAAAGCTATACATTTCTAGTACTGCTTTGGCATTGAATTTCACTTCCGATGCACTCATTTCTTTCCTGTCTGGTCTCATTAGAATTTGGAGCTGTTGGTCCACAATCACATGCTAGAACAGAGAGCAATCAATTCATGACTTTGCATAATTGCACTATAGCAAGCTTTTTCCGAGGGTAACTCGTTAGAGTCGTTGGCCTGCACTAATGGTTCTAGTGGGAACAATAGAATGACAGATAAATGAGGTGTAATTTTTTTTAAAGAGGGCAATTAGTACATATTAATGGTACTCGAAAAATAGGAAAAGAGATGTCACGGAGTTGGAATATATAACTAGTGACTGTAGCAAGTAAGCTGGAATGGAGGATCATAAGTGAGGCATCCTGAAAAAAACAAAGAGAGGGTAAATAGAGTAACAGAAGGATTGGGTAAAACTAATATGAAATTTTATGTGCAGATTTGGCTTAGAATATCTATAGGGCATTTCAATAACCAGCTGATGGGCACCAAAATAAGATAATAGGCGGAAGCTGCTGTACCATTCGATCAAGTATTGATAATTAGTAAAATTCAATCAAGTAATTACAAAATTAAAGAATCAATAGATAAATAATGAGTAAAAACTAGAGATAAATAACTCCATTAAAGGTAAAGTAAGATCAGAATCATATATGTAAGAATAGTTGAGTGAACCAAAGAGGAAAAGAAAAATAAATGCCACCCGTGATCAACAAAATAATGCATCCGAAAGTCCCACTTTTTTGGAGGTATTCGTTCCCAGTCACATGGGAGAACATAATAAAATCAATTCATGATCTTACATGGGAGAACGCTTTCTTTAAAGTAACTGCTCAGAGTCAGTGGCCTGTATGTAGGGGTGGGCACGCACGCGGGCAACCGATCGGTTGCCCGACAACCGCAGCAAAATTGGGCTTGCGGTGCGGTTACAAACGGGCTTCGGGCCCAAGGAACGGTTTTACGCATCAACCGTTTAAAATCGGTGCGGGCTTCGGTTCCAAGCCCAACAACCGAACAACCGAATAATACACCCGAAAACCCGTATTATTGTTTAGGAAAATACAAAATATATACCTTCTAAAACACATTGGCACCTTCACAATTTGCTGTGGGAAGCAAGGCGCATTCAACATCTAACTCAAATAAACACACGCTTGACACTTGTAAGCCAAGTCTGGGCATCATCGGAAAGGGCTTTCTGCGACGAAGAAAAACAAATGAGCTCCGGTACAAGATTCGGAGTTTACGAAGCTCGAAAAGCTTTATGAGTCTAGAACCCAACATAATCCGAGAAAAACCCAGATCTAGAACATAATCCGAGAAAAACTCAGATCTAGAAAAACCCAGATCTGGGTTTTGAGAGAGGAAGAAGAAGGGAGAAGAGAGAGAGAAAGAATAAGAGAAAGAAAAAAGAATGATGAGCAGGGAAAGGAAAAAGATGAAGTTGGAGAAAGAAAACCCAGATCAAAGATTGTTTTTTGGGGGAATCCATGGCTGAGGTGAGGAGGAAAAAGGCTGAGAAAAAAGAAGGGGCGGAGGGATGAGAGAGAAGAAGGGAGGAAGAAGAAGATGAACAATATAATAATAAATTAGGTGAGTTTTTATTTAAATAAAAAAAGCCACGTGGAAAAAAAATGGTACTTAAACTTAAAATTAAAAGAAATGGGTCACAAAGTATTCAGTAGATATTTGGGCCAGAAAACGAAAGGCCCAAATCCAAAAAAAAAAAGAGTTGCTAAGGGTTCAAGGCTGGAATCGGTCAAAACCGAAACCGATGTCAACCGAACCGATTAATTTAGTAACCGAATCGATTAATTTAGTAACCGAATCGAAAAACCGAAATATTATTCGGTTCGGTTTTTGGTTGTTATTTCACAAAATAAACAACCGATTAAAACCGTCAATTCGGGTTCGGTTCCAACCGAACCGAACCGATGCCCACCCCTACCTGTATGAATGGTCTATAGTGGGGAACACCAAAATTGACAGACTAATCTCTTAAAAATACGTGCAGTCTTGACAACACATAAAATTAGATTTTTTGGAGTGTTGTCAAATGTTAGAGTAGTAGATTGATATGGTAGAAATATGAATTGATAGAGATAGAGTAATGACAATAGATTTTTTGAACTAAAGTTAAAAGACTAATGACAATAGATTGGAGAAGCAAATTCCAAAAATGTAAATAACACCATTCACTCCACTTTTTTATGAACATATAATTAGTGTGGATTGATTTTTCACTCCCTCTATCATTTATTATCATTCTATTAATAATTAATTTATTGAAATTTATGGCACCTTTAATTAATTTTAGTATATTAACACTACGTCTAACTTTTTGAAGATGCATCTTATATATTTTAACGAACGAAAAAAAATCTCAATGATTTTTTTTTTTGAATAAGGTATAATTTGCAAATATAATTTAAGCATATGTCAAGTACTCAATAAATTAAAACTTTAAATAAATCAATAACTTTATAAAATTAATCATAAATTACAAGATAATTAGTATTTAGGACCAACTTTAACTCAATTAATAATCTTAATATCTAAAATGTTTGAAGGGAGAATAATAATATTCTCCAAGGTAGAAGTAAGCCTATGTCATGTGATTCATTTAATTTACGGGCGGTAGTAATTGTTATTTCGCAACCTATAAGGAATTAATATTTTATTACCTCAAAAAAAAAAAAATAATGATATATAAGCGGTAACAAAGTGTATAACATAAATTATAAAATGTAATATTGTAAGTAAGTATAAATAAAATAGACCATCATTTAGTAATTGTATAAATTAAGTATTTTTATATTTACATTAATAAAATTACTATTAAAAAAATAATTATAAAATATAAATCAGCTCTTAATATTAAAGTTCATTCTCTATTTAATTAATTTTATTTTATAGTTAAAATTACAAAATAACAAACTCTTATCGCGTTGAAAACTTTTCGTTTCCTATCTCCCAAAGCCAAAATCAATTGAATTTAGCCTCTGGAAATATATTCAAAACTATCCAGCCGTAAAAATTCCTCCTTTCCCATGATGTGCCGGTGCTATTCCCTCAAATATTAAGACTACATAAATTATATTTAGTTTAATTAATATTTTATTAAT